AAGGCAAAGAAATAGGAATTATCAAGATGAGACGGTTGTGACTGGAGGGAGGGAGGGAGTGGTTTTAGTGTGGGGAGTCAGGACAGGCCTCACTAAGGATGGAATATTATAGCCAAGAGGAGAGGAGCTGGCAAGACAAAGAGCCAGGGAACGGTGTTCCAGGCAGAGGAAACAGCAGGAGCAAAATCCTACAGGAGGAAGAAGACAGTGGAGGAGAGGAGTAGTGAGGAGGACAGAGCAAGAAGAAGGTGAAGAGTGAGCAAGAGGTGAGAGGTCAGGGAAATTGGTGAGTTGAGTCCTGAGGGGCCAAAAGGTCTGGGAATCTACCCCAAGTGGAAACCTCTGGAGGATTTTAGCAGGGGAAGCTGATCTGATTCGTTTATAATCACTCGGAAAGCTTTGCCTTCCTGTCTCCCAGGGAGCCAACCCTTCTGTGTGATCCTGTCTGGCTTCCCCACCAAATTGTGAGCTCTGTGGGCATCTGTCTTGTTCCATGCTAGATGGCTAACACAGAGCTTGATGCCCAGGGGAAAATAATTGCCTTTTTTTCTTTTCTTTTTTTTTTTTTGGCAGTGCTGGGATCAAATCCAGGGTCTCACACGTTAGGCAAATACTCTATCACTGAGGCGCACCCCTAACCCTAATTACTGTCAGTGGAATTCATGAATTAGGAGTTGGGACCTGAATGTGCCCGAAACCAGACTTCTACCCCATCCCTAGACCTCTCTGTCTGGACACAGATATATCCAGCTCTCATTAGAGTAGCGGCTAACCAGAGGAAGAGATGGGGGCTCGAGGGGCTTTCCCAGGGAGGGGATGTGAGAGTTAATGGGGAAGAAAAAGAAGTGGAAAGAAGGGAATTCAATTCACTTGAGCACCTACTAGCTCTGCGGCTTTGGATGGAAGAGGAAAGGTCATTCCCACCTCTCTGGGGGTGGAGGCCAGTCTCCTCAGGCCCTGGGCTTCAGACCAAAACTGACCTTCCATGCCCATGGCCTTCCCTGAACCCCATTTCCTCGTGCTCAATTCTGAACAATGACACCCTGACGTCTCTTAACTACTTACCCTGGTCTCCCTGGCCACCTAATTTTTTCCTCCTTTCTACTTCAGAGAAGGGGAGTTTCTTCCATGGGATTTTCATTACCTCCTCCCTTAGCCATAGTCTGAGGTCTCCATGATAAAATAAGCCCACAGTCAATGTTCATCAAACATCTGCTCAGCCCCAACTCCTCTCCCCTCTCCCTGTTCTGCAGCACCCCAACTTCATTCTTTCCTTCTCCACCCCCCCCCCCCTTTTTTTTCTTTTTTTTTTTTTTTTTTTTTTAGTACAGGGGATTGATCTCAGGGGCACTCAACCACTGAGCCACATCCTCAGCCCTATTTTGTATTTCATTTAGAGACCGAGTTTGCTTAGCACCTCACTTTTGCTGAGGCTGGCTTTGAACCTGTGATCCTCCTCCCTCAGCCTCCCCAGCCACTGGGATTACAGGCCTGCACCACCACTCCCAGCTTCACTCTAAGCTCTCTGAAGATGTCTTGTCCTCTAGCTCTGGATGTGTTTGGACAGTAAGAGGCACTGACAGAAGATGAAGTTGGGGGAAAAAAAATAAAGTGAGAAAGGGACATTGGTCCTCTTGGATCCCTCCTTCCAGGGTCATTTCAGCTGGCTGTATTCCTTGACCAAAGATCCTGTCCACATGACCTTCTCTCTAGGCTGTTTTTCTTCCAGTTGCTTGGGCAGGAGCACTCAGCCATGATAATGGATCTCCATAGGTGTTTGCCACAGGGTGCTGCATGAACCCCTGTTGGTTTCCCCAACTTCTGCCCACCCCACTGGTTTACTACAGGGATGGCCCCTGTAGTAAACTTGCCTCAAATTCCCATTTGAATGTGTCAGTTCCCTGAACTCTTACCCCAATCTTCCCCTCCCCCTCCCTGCTGAACCTCACTCACCCCCAGCTTTTTTCCCTCCTGATTTGGGGGGAAATTTAGCTCTCCTAGATCATCAGGGGTCAGTTTGTGTGGTTCAGTCCTCACAGTTGATTTCTTTTCTTTTCTTTTTTTAAAAATTTTTTTAGATGTTGATGGATGGACCTTTATTTTATTCATTTATTTATATGTGGTGCTGAGGATCGAACCCAGTGCCTCACACAGGCTAGACATGTGCTCTACCACTGAGCCCCAGCCCCAGCCCCTCACAGTTGATTTCTCAGCAGCTTTTGAAGCCCTGAACTATGTTGCTGCTCCTTGCCACTCCCCTCTCCTCCACTGCTAGGGTGCCACACATGCTCAGTTTGCCTCCTACTTCTGTGGTCTCTTATGCCTTTCCCTTAGATGGGGGACCCCAGGGCTCAGTCTCAATCTCCACTGTTTGGGGGACACCTTAATCACTCTCCCAGCTTCAATGTCTCTCTCCCCTATCAAACACTGATGTCATATCTGTCCCAAGGGTCCAGATCCCTTGAACATGACCCAAACTTGCCTTTGTGCCTTCCCTGCATATTTGCTTTCCCCCACCCCACCCCCCAGTTCCTAGACTGGAGTATCATTCTCTACTGTTTGAAATATACCAATCCTCCTTCCAGGATCCCCACCCCGTCTTTCCCCTCTGGTCCAGCCTCCTCCCCAGCCCCCAAGTCATATTCCAGATAGGCAGGTTTGTTCAAGATCTTCCCTTGCTGGCACTGGAAGTCCTTTGCAATCCTACGTCTTTCTATTCCAAACTTTCCTTCCAGTCTCACGGAAATGATAAACTACCCGTGCGTGGGAGCCTTCCGTAGGTCGGAGCACTTTTTCTTTTTTGCAAGGTTCAGCTCCAGGATCGCCTCCTCCAGGCCGACTTCTCTCCTTCCCTCCCTCCCTCCGGGTCAGTGCCCACCAGTTCCACATTCCAAAGGTGCCTGAACACACCCGGCTGCCAGTGTTCGGTTGTCTCCGATGGGAGGTTAGAGGTGTAGAGCTGGTGGCACCAACAGATGAGTGAGTGAATGAATGAATGAATGAATGGACGGGTGAGTGAATGACAGAAAGTGGTCTAGAGGCACGATTTAGAAGTGGGAGAGTCCAAGTCCCGGAGGAGCCCCAGCTGGAGCTCTCGGGGTCTCTACTCCCGCCCAAAGTGCTGCGCACGTCCAGCCCCCGGCCGGAGAAAGGACGCACCTTGATTGGCGCGGGCCTGGGGAGGCGGGCATCCACTGAGCCTCGAGTTTGTAATGGCTCACTGGCCAGAACTTTGCCCAATCAACGCGATCGCTTCCTTTAGAAGACCTCGCCTCCCTCCCCTCCCGCAACCTAGAAGGCGGAAGACAGCGCCTTTTAGTTACCCTGGCAACCGTCAGCGGACCGGGTCGCCCCGGCAACTCTCCCAGACCTCCCGTCAACTTTTGCCTGGGCCCCTCCAATCACCCAGACAACCGCTACCCGTTCCGGTCAACCATCAACCTTTCCCTCATCACCCTGGCAACCATCGCCAGACCCACCACCCCTTGGACGCCGTCTTCATCCTGCCCGCAGGCCTCCTCACCCCAACCCTAGGCTCCAAGATTCCTGGGCCCCAAGTCTCAGGGACTCCTCCTTCTGGCCCCCAAGGAGGTGGACATTGCCCCCTGCAGGGGAGGCCTGCTCTGTTGAGGTTGAGCTGCTGCACTGTGCTGACAGTCCACTGCCTGTCTCTCTACTCGCATTCTTGCAGGGAACTATGGGACTGTCCAGCCGCCACAGGGAGCTCTTCAAAATGCAAGCCATGTCCCTACCCTGCTGAAAACCCGCTCTGACTTCCCTTGAGAATCGAATTCAAACTCCCCACAGCCCCTGGCGGTCTGGTTAGCAGCTACTGGCCTCCACATTGTTACTCCAATAGGCAGAGCTCTGTCCCTGCCTATTGATGGTTTCCTACTCCTGGGAAAAGTGCAACCCCTCCCCACCCCCACTGGGGTCCAGCCTCTGGTTTCTCAGAGAAGTCTTACCTGAGCTCTGTCATTCACTTGAATAGCCCTCTCTCCTCCCTGTGAATTCCAGGACATGGGCTATGTCTTACAATCCCAAATCTTCCTATCCCAAACTTCACTCTTAGTCTCACAGAGATGTCAAACCACTTGTGCAAAGGGAGGCTTCTGTGAGCCAGATCAAATTTTGCAAGGTTTAGCTTTAAGATGGGCTTATGGTGCACACTGTATACCTAGGACTTAGAACAATGCCTGGAATCTAAATTGAGTGAAAGTATGTCTCTGTGGGGAAAAGGGAGGGCAGAAGGGGATGGCTTGGCAAGTTGGGCTTTGGTTAGGCAGACTCATCCCAAAGCTAGAATGAATTTCTCAGGTCTCCTGAGTCCTCATGCGGCAGGTGATGACACTATCCCCAAGACCCTAAATTCTAAAGTCAAGGAGATAGAAGTTGATGCTGGAGGTCCACCCTCCACTTCTAACCCCCTCATTTGAGGCCGGAGCCAGAAGCCTCCATAATCAGCAGAAACTTCAGTTAATCTGGAGCAGAAGATTCTAGGAGCCGAAGGGGAAAGCCCTCAGATCCCAGATGACCATACAGAGAGCCGGCCTCTTCCTATGCTGAGTCTAGAATCTCATGTTTGTTAATGGAGCCCAGAGATCTGAGACAGGCTGGCACAGGCTGGGGTGAGAGAACTTGACTTGACTTGAACTTGGTTATAATGGGGAAAGGGATACTTGGGAGCTGCCCTGAGTCCAGCTGGAGGGGAATCTGTATACTCACCTGCCTTCCTATGAGTGTAAGGTGGTCAGGAGATAGATAGGCAAGGAGGTCCCGCACTCTTAAACTAGGAACATTCTCACTGACACTAATAGAACTTTCTGCACTAATGTGACAATTGAGCACTTGAAATATAGCTACTGTGACTGAGGCACTGCATTTTAAATTGTATTTCATCTTAATTAATTCACATTTATATTGAAGTAGCCACCTGTGGCTAGCACTACCATATTGGATAGAATATTGGAGAAGACTTGAGATCCAGACTGGGAGCCAGAGACAGAAATATCAGTTTATAGTCTACACAGCACCTTTGGTAAGGAGGGTCAGAAACTAAATTCTAGAACCTAGCTACATGAAGGAGAGTTCCCAGGGTCCATATGTTTGCAACACATGCATGCACACACCCATGCCTGGACTGGTGTGCCTCAGGGAATCCACACATGCATTTGTGTGCCATCCAGAAGACTTACACTCAGGGCTGATCCAGGAGTTCACCATGTATGTACACAGACTCCCAGGCACACACAGATGATGTGTTCCTGAGTTTCTGTGTGCTTGTGTACCTGGGCAGGCAGGCGAGCAAGGGTCACTAGTCCAGCAGGTCTTGCAAAAAAGCCCACATGTATTGGTGCATCTCCTGGGGGTGGCTCTGGGGGATCCAGTGCCCCGCATCTGGCAGGATGTGGGCCTCCAGTCGGCCTGGCACAAAGCGTCTACTAATGGCTCCCACCAGCCCCACCTCCATGTAGGGGTCCTTCTCCCCCCACAGCAGCAGTGTGGGTGTGGCCAGCTCCTGGGGCTCCAGAGGGAAGTTCCTATGGCCAAGACAGACAGACAGGCAGAAGGATGGCTACTCCTACTCCCTGTCCCTGGAACTCTTCTGCGCTTTTACCCTGGGTCCAGTCTTACCTGAAGAGGTTTCGGTAGTAATTGATGGGCCCTGTGAGACCACCAGGCTGAGAGAAGTTATAAAGGAAGGCCTCAAGTTCACTGGGGGTCAAGTGTGGGATGCCTGTCTTGTAGTGGGTGAGGGTAGTCTTCAGGATCTGGGCACAGAACAGGGCTCTGACTTCAGTGTCCAGCCTTCCTAGTCCCAACCTGCTACCCCACACCCCTAGGCCTTCACCCCACTGCACCTGGAAGTCAGACATGGACAGCAATTTCTCTGGCAGCCAAGGAAGCTGGAACAGGAACATGTAGTTCGATCGGAAGAACTGGCCAATGTGGCGTATTGAGTAGTCTGGGAAGGGAATGAAGGGAAGACAATGCAAGAGCTTGGGCCTGGAATGACTCTGCACTCTTGTATCCCAACACCCCTGTCAGGCACACAGTCCTCAAGAATACCGCCACTGCCTGCCTTGCTATGAAGACACTTGTCCCATTCCTGGCCCAGGTACCAGCTTTCTTCCTTGCCAGGTAGTCACTGTATTCACAGCGCCTCTCTCTACCTCTTCGAAGCTCCCATAGCCACCAGTATGCTTCTGCTGCCTGGGCCTGGATGCATTCACTGGCATTTATGTGCCAGATCTGGTTCTAGACTTTGGAGACCCAAAAGTGAATAGGACAGAAAAACTTCCTGCCCTCAAGGAGCTTTCAATCTAGAGTTGGAAACAGATAGGAAACAACAATGGTGGTGGGGGCTGAGCAGTTTTGACTACAATGGTGGGAATTAAAATCAAGTGAGGGCTGGAGGGATAGTTCAGTGGTAGAACACTTGCTTGTCTAGCATGCATGGAGCCCTAGTTTCAACCCCCAGTGAGACAAAAAATAAAAAAATAATAAATAAAATCAGGTGATATGGATGGGGGTAGAGTATAAATAGTAGATAGAGCCCAAGCTTAACATGCTTGAAGCCCTGTGTACAATCCCCAGGAACAAACTCACCCCCCAAAATGCCCCAAATCAGGTGATGTGATAAGACATTGGGTGGACAGAAATTACCATCTCATGCTATTATAGTAGTGGTTGCTTAGTTGTCTATGTCTTCACCACCAAGAAAGCCATTCAACCTCCCTTGTCTCAGTCTCTTCCAGGTGGAACATATTTTTGTAAGACCAGGAGCCCTGGGTAGGTTATTGTATACAGGCTCCCTGTTAGAGGCAATTATTACAGGTTGAACATTGCTCATCTGAAAATCTGAAATGTTCCAAAATTCAAAAGTTTTGAATGCTAACATGATACCACAAATGCAAAATTTCACACTGGACCTCTGATGGTTCATGTCTATAAACTTTTTAAAAAATATTTTTATAGTAGATGAATATAATACCTTTATTTTATTCTTATGTGGGCTGAGGATCAAACCCAGTGCCTCACACATGCTAGGCAAGTACTCTACCAACTGAGCTATAACCCCAGCCCTCTACAAACTTTTTTTACATACAAAATTGTTAAAAACTATTCTACAGGGGGCTGGGGTTGTGGCTCAGTGGTAGAGCGCTCGCCTTGCATGTGCAAGGCCCTGGGTTTGATCCTCAGCATCACATAAAAATAAATAAATAAATACAACTACAACTAAAAAAAAAAAAACCACTATTCTACAAATTACCTTATGTCTGAGTGCAAGGTATATATGAAAAAACGAACTATTTCTTTTTTTCTTTTTTTTTCCCCCCAGTACTGGGGACTGAACCCAGAGGGTCTTAACCATGGAGCCACCTCCCCAGCCCTTTTTATTTATTTATTTATTTATTTTTTTTAGTTTTCGGCAGACACAACATCTTTGTTTCTATGTGGTGCTGAGGATCGAACCTGGGCCGCACACATGCCAGGCGAGCGTGCTACTGCTTGAGCCACATCCCCAGCCCCTTTTTTGTATTTTATTTAGAGATGGTCTTGCTGAGCTGCTTAGGGCCTCATTAAAAGTTGCTGAGGCTGGCTTTGCACTTGTGATTCTCCTGCCTTAGCCTCCCAAGCCACTAGGATTACAGGTGTGTACCTCCACACCTGGCTGAACTATGAATTATTTCATGTTTAGACTTCAGTCCCATCTGCAAGGTATCTCGTTATGTGTATGTACAAATTGTAAAATCTAAAAATTTTGAAATCTGAAACACTTCTGGTCCTACGCAACAACTTTTTTTTCAGTGCTGGGGATTGAATTTAGGCCTCAAGCATGCTAGATAAGCATTTTAGCACTAAGCTATAATCCTTCAACTTGTATTTGAAAGTGCTTAAAAAATGTGGGTCACTCTTAAGTGTGCTGTCATTGATTTTCAATTGAGGAGTGACACAGGGAAGGGATCCAAGTTCACTGCTATACTCCTAACCCTTGGCATGAATGGAGAAGTGCAAATACAAACGTATACCCGTGTACGCTGGCACATCCCAGCATTCATGACACACCTTGGTACACTGACATGGGGGCAGCGCTGACCACAACCATCCGCTCTACCAGGGATGGGAAGTAGATGGAGAAATTCCAGGCAAGGAGAGCACCCCAGTCATGGCTCACAAGGATGCACTTGGAGTAACCTGGAGGACAGAGGAGTTGGTGTAAGATATCAGGTAGGAGTGAGGCAGGGTGGGCAACATGAGTCCCAGCAAGGAGTAAGAATGAGGAGATGGGCATGTACAGGATGGGGGAAGCCTTGTCTGAATGGGGTTGAGTCCTCACCCAGGCCCAGGATAACATCCTGGATGTCAGCCATCAGCAGGTCGATGGTGTAACAGTCCACATCTCTTGGTGCATCAGAAGGGCCGTAACCACGCAGGTCCGCAGCCACGACATGGAAGTGGTTCTGGAACTCCCTGAGCTGGTGGCGCCAGGAGAACCTGCTCAGCAGGAGGGAGTGTCGCGGGAAGTTGAGTCAGGGCCCCCAGGAGGCACTTCCATCCTACACACAACTGAGACTGGTAACCCCACCTTCCTGCTCTGGACTTCCCAGAAGAAAGGATGGGGGAAACCCAGGCAGATGCAGAGGCCAGCTGTACTCCAAATATAGGTCAGCTTCAATCTCAATGCTTCTTTGTCCCATCCCCTCAGGGTCTACAGATCCCAGGCATCCTGGTGGTCTCCCTGCCCTCTTGGCACTGTCTGGGCCCTATAATGCTGCTCTGTAACCCTAGGACTGCTCAGCCCTCATCCCCACTTCTTGGGTGCCCTAGTGGTGGGAGCTCCACCGCTCCCCAGTCCCATGTGCCCCAGACGTACCAGTTCTCCGGGAAGCCATGCAGAAACAGCATGAGAGGCCCCTTGCCGTGGCCAGCGGAGACATAGTGCAGGCGCAGACCAGAGCTCTGCGGGAGGGCAAGATGAAAGCCCTTTGAATCTTTCCTTCCTAGACTTGAACCCCCAGGACTCTGTACTGAACCGGATTTGGACTCAATTATTTCCTCTTAGCTCATCGCATCCCAAAACCTTGAGATCCCACAGCCCCAATGGCGCCCGCCCGCAAGCACTTACCCTGAGGCTCAGGAAGTCATGCTTGCCCAGTGTGGGGTCCTTCAGGCAAGCCGGAGCCGCTCGCCTGGGGCGCCCACAACAGCCACGTCTGGGCCGGCACAGCACGTGCGTGAGCGAGATGCAGCCATAGATTGCCCCGGCCACCAAAGCTGCCGAGTACACTAAACTCCACATGAAGGCACGCAGCAGCTTCAGCGTGAGGCGCGACGGCGCCAGCAGAGCAGTCACCACCAGCTCCGGCATGTCGCCGCGCCCCGGGATGACGACAGTGCTGCGGTCGGGAGCGTGGGCCAGGGGCTCTGGCAGCACTGGCGAGGCGGGATCTGGCCCGGGGAGCCCACCGCCTTTGGTCTGAGGACCCTCCGTGCCGTCGGCGCTTTGGGACTCGCTGAGGGAATAGATGGTCAGCTCAGACGGAAACCGCCACCGCACAAGACTCACCTAAAGTGTCAGGTAAACACCTGGGTGTGACATGGACAAGGAACAAGTCTAGGTAGGGTGCTGGGACAGAGCCCTCGAGGACCTGGCTTAGGTGGCTGGGGAGGGGCCTTGGGGGAAAAGAGGAAGCGTGGGCGGGGCCTAGGAAGGTCTGGGTGGAGCTTAAGACAAGGACTAGACCTGGGAGGACACCTGCAGCAGGTGGGTGGGTCTAAAGGCAAGAGGGAAATTCGGAACCCAGACAAACGCGGACCCTGTGCGAATGGGCGGGGCCTAGGGTGAAGGGGCGTGACATATACAGGTGGGTGGAGCATGAAGGAGGTGGGGCCTAACATTGGGCGGAGAAGGCTGGAGGCTTGGCCAATGAACTGAGGTTGGCCTGTAGCTCGGCCAATGAGATGGAGAGGCGGGGCCGGAACCTACTATGGTAGATTCGAAGGCCCGGAAGCGGAAGAACGGGCAATGGTGTGGCGGTTGATCGAAGCAACCCGAAGAGGTCTCGGTAGCCTCGGCTACCATCCCACCCGAGTAGCTCCCGCCTTGGAGCGCGTGGCCTTCCCCTCGGCTTGACATCGTGGGACCCTGCAGCATACTTCACCTAGTCCTGGTTCCAACGGCGAGTCCTGAGGCCTCTGCCCCGTCCAGTTCTCCTGTTGGTCCAGCGGACCCACCAGCCCGCCCCTACACGGCTGTGATTGGACAGTGGCGGCCATTGATGTCCAAGCGACAGGTCCTGGACTGAGACCGGGATCTGGGCTCCGCCGGTAGAGAACAAACTCCTACAGGATAAAACCATCTTGGAAGCTGGAGGAGGGCCGGGGCGATTGGGGTCTTGGCGGCAAGAGGAAGCTGCTCCAGGCATGATGGAACCCTGGGTCATAGAGCCAAGTCCCTACCAGGAACCACCTTCTGCAACCCTCCCCCGAGATTTCAGGGACGAACACTCATTTAACTCTTATATTATTATGACGCTCTTGCATTACGGATCCATGAACCTCAAGTTTCAGGAGAAAGACGTTTGCCTGAAGTCATACAAACAGCAATCCAGAAAGATTTACTGAGGAAAGCATTAATCTGTGGTTCCAATCTCACAGCCATTGGAAAGCTTTCAGATTCTGATGGTTACTTATAATGTGTTTCTGTGGCTATTTATTTTCCGATTTGAAGCGTTATCCACTTACTTACATTACCACCAGTGGATACCCGTTTCCATTTTTACTTTCTTGGTTTCATCTAACTTAAAACTCTATCTTCACCGCCCACCTCTTTCCAGTCACTTATTTTTGTGGTGCTGGGGATTGAACCCAGGGCCTGGTGGATATGAGGCAAGCACTCTACCAACTGAGCTAAATCCCAGCACCATCTTTCCAGTTATTTATAGCGTCTCAGAAAGGAATGACACCACTGATTACACATTGCCTATATTTTTTGATTTTGGTGGTACTGGGCATAGAACCCAGGGGCACTTTACCACTAAGCTACATCTGCAGCCGTTTTTACTATGAGACAGGATCTTGATAAGTTGTTGAAATTCGTCTAGAACTTGTTATCCTCCTGCCTCAGCCTCGCAAATAGCTGAAATTACAGGCTTGTGCCCAGCCATTGCACCAACTTTTGTTCTCTCTAGACTTCAACACCTACCTTTCTTGATTAGCCTGTATCATTACTTTTTTTTTAAGGTCCTGGGGATTGAACCCAGAGCCTTGTGCAACTGCCCCATAACTGGTTTTTTATTTTTCATCAAATCAGACCTCTGACAACTTTATGGTCCCAGAATCTTTTCTGAGCTCTCGAATCTGGCTGTATGGCTGGCTGCTCTAAGTGTCTGGGAACATCTCTTCTTTAACAAACCCTGACCCTGGCACCCACTTTACCCTTCCTCCCAACTCTGCCCTCAAAAAGACAGCAGTAGTGTGCTCACTTCCATAGCACTTATACTAAAAGTGGAATGATTACAGAAAATTAGCATGGCCCCTGCACAAGGATGACTCACAAATTCCCCAAGCACTCCATAGTAAAAAAATAAATAAAAAATAAAATAAAAAGACAGCAGTAGTCATAGAAGGGTAATTTTATATTCAGTACAAATGTTTATTTTTGCAATGAGAACTGCACAAAAAAAAAGAACCTTTAGTATATAAGTGAAAAGTCTACGAATTCCCTTCTACAAATGTCTAAAGTGTTTTAATACAAGTCTCAGATTCACTGACATGATTATTGGCCAAGCGATCCGTGCATACAGTACAATGGGGCTTGTACACACCTCTTAACTTGTATAGGACTAAGATTTCTAGTACTGTGGGAGGGATTTGGAAATGGCCAGAAAAATTAAATAAATCCCAGTTCTAATTACAACCCAGTTAGAGAAACATCAGAGGGGTGTGGAGAAGGCCATGGCAGTTAAAAATCTTTAGCAGGAAGGTGCAGACAAAACTATCCAACTCAACCACTGACTCAGCCTGGGAAGTTTCTGAACAAAACAAATAACAAAAATGAAGAACGTGAGATGAGATGGAAGAAACCCCCAAAAACCAAAATATGTCAAATTTGAACTGGCACAGTTCAAACAGGCACAGGTATATGAAGTGCCTGGGGTGGGCAGGGACACTGAGGAAGTGGGGGGCCACTGACTGGATGCCTTAACTACACCCTCCCTAGGAGGTTTGGCAGATCCTAAACAAGACAAGGAAGGATCTTCATGGTTGAAAAAGGGGAATGTGGGTTAATAAACAGTGCTAGAAATGTTTCAGTTTGTCTCCGCATACAAATAAATTATATGCTTGAACCTTACAACCTTGGGGCTGTTCTTGGTGCCACCCATGCCTTGTGGCTGGGGTATGTGCGTACAGTAAGCCCACTGGCAGGGAGGCCACTTGTGGGCTTTCTGGAGTGGAAATGTGTGCGTTCATGTGTGTGTGTGTGTGTGTGTGTGTGAGAGAGAACAAGGATCCTATTTTGGGGGAATGTACACTTACCTAAGAGTATCTGGTTAACCCTGAGCTTAAATGAAAGGAGGAGTTAGGTAGAGGCAAGCAAGGTGGGATAAGTGGCCCAAATCCTTTGGTAAGTGGGGGACAAGGTGGAGGACAGCAAATAGGAAAAGTACGGTCTGGAGTTTGGCCAGAGTTCTGTTGGGGCATGTCACCCACCTAGGCCAAGGTCCACAGGAAGGATGATGGTTTATCTGGGCTCCCTGTCACACCTTCAGTTTGGGGTGGCTGCTGTGAGCCTAAGTGGCTCCTGCCCAGGAAAAGCAGGAACAGGCTACAGGAAAGGGGTTATGTTGTCATTGATGGTAGTTCTTGTGGCCTAGGTCCTGAGAGAATAGAGGAACCTGGGCCTAGCCTAGGCAACAGTTGGTTCACAAAGAAATGTCAGGGAGACACCAGCATTAAAAAAGAGAGATGTGTTTATTCCATGATCAGTACAGACCAAATGCATATTCACCGTATGAAAGTCAAACCAGTCAGTGACTCCAGAGTTTGGCCAACACTGAGGCACCAGCATCGTGGTGTAGTGGGTTCTCATGGCACTCATAACCTCGCCAAGGGCTCCAATTATTAAAAAAAAAAAAAAAAAAAATTATGGGAGGGAGCAGCCAACTGGTTGGGACTGGGTACTGGGCAGGGAAAGCCTCTGCCTCAGTCTGTGCCCCTTCACCCCCTAGTTCCTGGAGCCCACCTAATCCTCAGTCCCTTCCTTTCTTGGTTAAAAAAAAACAAAAACAAAACAAAACAAAAAACCCCCAAAACAAAACACAGACTTGACATTAAAAACAAAGAAAGAAAAGCCAACAAATGGCAGGAAGAAGGGGATCGCAGCTTTCTGGTTTATAATTAAAAATAGACTAATAGAGTTTGAAACCGAGTAAAATATAGGCAGGTTTTTTTTTTTTTTGTTTTGTTTTTTGCTTTTTTTTTGTGGATTTTTTTGAGTTTTGTTTTTTTACACTGGTTTGGTGGAGTCACCAACAAACTTCAAACAAAGATATGTCAACTATGTTCACTATACAGTACAGCCACGGTCACACACTACCCACAGTGCGGTGGGAGCCGCCGCTCAATGAGACGATCACACCATTTCGGAGATAAGCAGTGCCATTGTGTCTGGAGAAGAGAGAATTAAAAATAAAATAGAATTCAACAACAAAAATATATATATATAGAAAAAAAAAAACAAAACAAAAACAAAAACAAAACAGAAACACAGGTGGGAAGGAACTGACTTTGGTTGGTGGCCTCACTCCCCGGACAAGGCCCGCCCACACTCATGGGACGGTCACCTCGATCAGAATTGCCATGGACACACACACACCTCCACGGCACTATTCCCTTTTGCACAAGCGAACACTTATAGAGAGCGGCTCTCAATTAAAGGCTTGTGGGGGGAGGGGAGGGAGGGGTCTGTTCAAGGCAAAGTCAGTGCCAGCAAGGGGATGTGGGCCACTGCCCTCGTCCGCTGCAGCCCACTTGGACCTGTCCTGGCCTCTTAGGAGCAAGCGGCGATGGCTAGGGTGTGGGGAAAGACTCCCATCAGGCAGGACGTCACAAACGTCATGTTCTCAGGGACAGAAAATCAGTCTCGGTGGCGGCAGCGACAATGTCCTGTGTATACTGTGTAGACATTTGGCGGAGAGAAGGGCTTCTGCCCCACACACGGGGACACAGGCCTTGAGTCCGGCCGGCACTTGCTCTTGCTCGTATTGAGGCGTGCTCTGAGCTGACGTCCTGTGAGAGGGGTGGTGGGACGTCCCTCCGGCTGGCTGTAAGGCAGATGGGCTCTGCAATCTTCAGCTGCCCTTCAGGCCTGCCCTGGGCATAGCATGCAGTAGGGCCAGGCCTGGAGACACCCCGGCCCCTGCTACCGCCTCCACTGTCGTCCCTAACACTATGGAGAGTCAATGTTTTGCCAGAAAATCAAAGTCAGAAGTCACCTAGGCGCTCTCAGAAAAGATTTTCTTCAAATATTGACAATAGATCACTTTGAAAATTCATGTCAATCGTAGCTGCCATCTGGAGAGAAAGAGGAAGGAGGGTGGGAATGAGTTCAGGTGCCCTCCTTCTACTGTAGCTCTAAGACTTTCTCTATACCCACCACCATGTTGTCTGGGTTCGGCCCCTCACACCTTCCCCAGGATTCTTCCCTCAGTGCCCATTCTCAAAGCACTTGGGCCATTTATGTCCCAGTTGAGCCACCTCTGAGACCAGAGGTTAGCCTGGAGTGCACTGGCAGGCCTGGGCTCACTATCTGCCCCTCCCACTCCTAGGCCTCCTTTGCCAGTTCCTGCAGGTAGACTTCTGCCCAAGAGTCCCCACTATGGTCCCAAACTCACGGCCTCCCGGCGCCTTCGCTCCTGCTCCCGCTTCCTGGCCAATTCCCTCTGCTGGTCCAGCATGGACTGGGGCTGGGAGCTTTGGGCTTGGGGGGTGGCGGCGGCGGCAGCCACAGCGGCAGCCTGCTGCTGCTGCTGCTGCTGCTGCTGTTCCTGCCGCTGCTGCTGCTGCTGCTGCTGCTGCTCCTGGCGCCGTCGTGCCTCCTCATGGGCTCGCCGTGCCTGCTCCAGTGCATCTTCGTCCTCTCGGCTCCTGGGCAGAGCAGGGCCCTGGGTCAGCCTGGGGCCTTGGTGTGGCCCTGAGAGCCCCGATGCCCTGCCCGGACCACAGCCCACCTCATGCGCTCCTGCCGCAGTCGCTCTTTCTCCTTCTCTGCATGCTCAGCCTGTGCCTTCAGGGCCTTCTCACGCTCTTCCTTCTCCCGAGCAGCACGGCGAAACTGTTCGAAACTATCACTTGATGACTTGGCTGTAGAGGATGGGGTAGTTGGATGCTTCTGTACCAGGCTTGCCCAGGAGCCCATGTTCTTGATTTTCAGGTCCTGCAGGGCAGAGAAATGAAGAAGAGTGAGAAGCCTACTATGCTTGAGTAGGGAGCTCATGTCCTCTAAGGTGCCTCCCTGGTGTGGAGGACCTCAGGGCAACCATAGGCCTATTATTTCTACCTTTTTGGGTGCCACTGGCGTCTTAGGCTCCTGTTTCTGTTTGTCCTTGTCAGGGGCCCCTGGAGGGGCTGCATTCTGTTCAGGGGGCCGGATCACAGGTCTCCCAACATCCACAGGCTTCAACTCAGGTCCTGGAACACAAACAGCCTGTGGGCCAGGGCCCATCTTATCCCGGTGGGGCACGATCCATGGCCCCACAGTAAGCTCATGTCTGGCACAGGGCTGAGACCCTGAGCTCCAGCTGTGGGGCAAGGAGGGCACTCACGCTGGGGCAGGTGGACTGGGGCCTTGATGCTCTCTGGGTGTTTTGGGGGCTCCGGCCGCAGAGACGGACTGAAGGGCTCACTGCGGATGATGGGTGAGTGGATTTTCTCCTCTTTCACGACCACAAGGGGCTGGGGCTGGACCACTGAGGCCTTATGCAAATCCTGAAAGAGCAGAGGCACAATGGTTGGTGAGGCAGGCAGACACCCCTGGCTGTGGTCCATGCCTGCCCCTGAGGGCTGTGACCCAGATTGGCCCTTTACCTGCTTCTTAGGCTGGACATTTTGCTGGGGTGGAGACTGGTGGGTCAGGCTCTGGAACTGTGGCATCTGGGGGGAATGTATCATAAGCGGGGAGGGGGCTTCACGGAGGTGACCTAGGAGAGGGCACAAGGAGTATGTCAGGGGGTTAGTGTAGAGGCCACCAGCCCTGGGCCTTGAGTAAACTATAACGGGAAGGGAAAGCCTGGAAGTAGAACCAGCATGAGGCCTGGTCAGGCTTGAAAGAGTAAAGATCCTCTACTGGGCCTGCCTGGTAAGGATTTGATTCCCCCCTCTCCAAAGGGCTGAGAGCTCCCTATCTCTCAGGATATGGGGCCCTTTCAGCCACGTCCCTGGGCTGAGTGCTCAAAGGGCTTTATGGAGTCCCATGACACCAGTACTAGTATATTCATCTTTCTGCATACCAGACGCAGGAAGCTTTGAAAACCACACCTCCTGATATATGGGGTTCTCAGGTGGGGTCCAGGGACTAGTAGT